GGGTGCCGCAGAATCGCACTCTCGCCGCCCAGACCCAGGCTGCCCAGGCGCATGTTGGGGTTCTTCGTCATGAACTGCAAAACAAAAAGGGCTGTTTGTTTCCTCCCATCCGGCAGGGCCACGGGAGAGGGACCTATTAGCAGTCGCACAAAAGCTTGTCCTCAGCTTTCCTGTTGAACTCAGTTGCTGGCCAGACTTCTCAATTTCATTGTACTGGAACTGCATGCAAGGAACTTGACTCATTCTCTAGAGGAAGAAGTCGGGGTGTATTTCTCCTTGGTCCCTTTTCTTTTGGTCAAATCCTTGGTTACCACAATAAGAAAAGAAAGTTATAATGTTGCAAACGATGCAATTCAAATGTTGCACAATGGTTTCAGTGGTTATTTATTTCTGTATTAATTTCTCAGGAATATAAGCTCGCTCTCAAACGCTGCTCACCAGCCAGCCAGGCTTTGGACTGGAGTCAGTCCTGAGCTGTGTCTTTTTCCTAAACCTCAGCCTGCTGAAGCGCAGCCAGAAGCCTACGCTTTCCTTCCTGTCATCTCAGGAAACAGAGGAAAATGAGCAAGGCACTGGCTTTTAGAGCCCCCCAAACCCTGAGCAGATGAGAGCAGACAGGCGACCATCTCCTCTCTCGATGGTGAAACTCTGAAAGAGGGTTTCTTTTTGTAACAAATTTACTCTGCTACCAGTGAAAAGAAATCTCAAACCTCAGCCGAAGTGCCCTGATTTGCCAGGGAGCAATGAGAAAAGCCGTACATCATGCACACAGTGCGAGAGGGCCCTGGCGGGTGCCCTTTGGGTCCCGACAAGAATGATGAAGTGTGAATGCTGCAGATATTTCTTAAGGGAAAGGGAAATATTGGGGGAGGAGGGGAATCCTTTTCCCAGGCAGGAAAAGAGCTAGTTGGCTTGTTAATTTAGGATTATAGTTCTTAAAAATTCAGTAAAAACCAATCTTTCCCTTCCCGTCGAGTATTTCTAATTCATTGGAGAAATCAGGTTATGTTTAAACTGGGAAAATAGCCGCTTTTATTTGCCTATTGAAACAGCAGCATAAAGCAAGCTCCACTCTGGTGGAGGTGTCCAGACGATTTCCTTGAAGATGAAAGAGCATTATGTTTAGCAAATAGCTGAACCAGCCAAACCAGACAATCAGTCACTGTTTCAGGAATGACCAAGTCTGCTGCACCTCGGCAATGGGGAAATTAAAAGAAGGGGAGGTGCAGTGAGAGACCAACTTCATTCTGACTGTAGGAGCTTTTCAGAAGGTACAAATTCTCCTAGGATGAGCAGATAACAGGTCTAGTCATTCCCTACCTAGAGAGAAGATGGGGAGAAGAAAGACAACTGCCAGATTTATTTTAGAATTCTCCCCAGTACCCCATCCTGAGGGGACTTCAGAGCAAAAGTAGATGGGGCATCTGCAGCTGAGACCCTGCAGGACCCCAGACTCTGCTGACATTAGCACAAAAACCCCAGCTCCAGCCTGACCTCCTGAGCCCTTCGAGGACGTGTGCTGCTAGGGGATTCCCTACGGCAGAACTGTTTTCCACCATTCCACCCAAAACATCAGTAGAGCGAGCTGCTGAGTGCATCCAGATTTGTAAGAGCAGTCACCAGGAGAGGAGCAAAGCCGACGTGGCTCTCTGCAACGGGGGTCTTTCCCATGCTTCTCTGGACTCTTCAGCCCTCAGTTATGCAGCACTTCCAGGGTCAGGCCCAAGGACAAGCAGAACTTCTCTGTCTCCCCACCCCTTTCAACCTGTTCTTCTCCCTTTCTACCAGCAGAACCCAAACACAATTTGTTTCCCAAGAGACTCTGCCCCAAAATTTCTGTGGGATACTGATCCTCAGACAACAGCCTGGTTTCCGAACAAGAAATGGGCCAAGCCAAAATCTCTCGGAGACCTGGTTCAGACAAGCCTTTGGAAGTCTTGAACTAAACTTCTTTGGTTTCCAAAACAGGCCAGAAACTTCCTGGCACCCCCATCTTTCTCTAGAAATTCCCTACCCAGCTTCTTTGTCCCCACAGATGGATAGCTGCACCTCACTAGCTCTTATCTGCACTGCTGGAACACCTAGAAAGCTCAAACAAGATCAGAGCTCGCTGGCACTGAAAGTGGTATAGACCAAAACAGTCCAAAAAGACAAGACAAAGAGAAGGGAAGGAGAGCTGGGAATAAGTCCCATGTCTCCTGGCTCTTGACCTACCGTCGCCTCCATTACACCAGGAACCTTCTGCTAAATCTTGGGGGGGGGAATCATGAAAGCAGATAATCTCTGAAAAGGGCTGGTAACATGCTTTGCTTG